AGAACTGTTTTTTCCCCCCTTCTTTCTTTCCGCGGCCGTTGGGGCCCTTCTTTAGATCTGTTTGATCTTGAAAAATTCTGTTTGGTAGGCATCTATTCCTTTCTTCCTCCGCTGCTGCTCCTCCCAACCCCGACCGTCCCAAAGGGGCAGAAAATTCAACCAAAAATTTCGAGCGCGTTCATTCAAATTGGCCTCACCGTGGGACTTTGAATGTAGACTGGGCTTCTGGACTTCATCTCAATCTGGGACGCTTTATTAACTTGTTTTCCCCCCCCGATAGTAACAGGACATAGCCGCCGCGTCATCAAATCTCTGTTATTCTCACCCGATCGCTCCGGAAGTCTGTCTTCCACCTTTCGTTTTTCTTTTCCTTCCACCTATCTTTTCTTTCTTTCGTGTTTTCGTTAGACATTCTTCGCCATGGCCGATCAAGAAGTGGACCTTGACTCGATCATCGACAGGCTTTTGGAGGTGAGGGGTAGCCGCCCTGGAAAGCAGGTTCAGCTGCTTGAGTCAGAGATCCGTTTCCTCTGCACTAAGGCTCGCGAGATCTTCATCTCTCAGCCCATTCTTCTCGAACTGGAAGCGCCCATCAAGGTAAGATTTTTTTTTTTTGGTGTCCGAGCGGCATCTCGAGTCGGAATCGACCTCCGTCTAACATGTCGTGTGCTTTTCTAGATTTGCGGTGATATCCACGGCCAATACTATGACCTCCTGCGTCTGTTCGAATACGGCGGTTTCCCTCCCGAGGCCAACTACCTCTTCCTCGGTGACTACGTCGACCGTGGCAAGCAGTCGCTCGAGACCATCTGCCTCCTCCTTGCGTACAAGATCAAGTATCCCGAGAACTTTTTCATTCTGCGTGGAAACCACGAGTGTGCCTCGATCAACCGTATCTACGGTTTCTACGATGAGTGCAAGCGCCGATACAACATCAAGCTCTGGAAGACTTTCACCGACTGCTTCAACTGCCTTCCCATTGCTGCCATCATTGATGAGAAGATCTTCACCATGCACGGTGGTCTGAGCCCCGACCTCAACTCCATGGAGCAAATCCGCCGTGTCATGCGCCCCACGGATGTAAGTTTCTCTCCCCTTTGCCAATTTCACGCCCTCCCCTGTGGTGGATGTGGTTCTATTGGCAGCGAAAAGAAAAGTGGCAGTGTGGCGGTGGGTTCGCGGCTGAAGGCCAAAATTGCTGACTGATACTGAAACTAGATTCCTGACTGCGGTCTCCTGTGCGATCTCCTGTGGTCCGACCCCGATAAGGATATCACCGGCTGGAGCGAAAACGACCGAGGTGTCTCATTCACATTCGGCCCCGACGTAGTCTCGCGCTTCCTTCAAAAACACGATATGGATCTGATCTGCCGTGCACACCAAGTTGTTGAGGATGGATACGAATTCTTCTCCAAGCGCCAGTTGGTCACACTATTCAGTGCGCCAAACTACTGTGGTGAATTCGATAATGCCGGTGCAATGATGAGCGTAGATGAGAGTCTGCTCTGCTCCTTCCAGGTGAGTTACTACAAATTCCACCCCGATACTTTTTTTTCGATCAGTTCCTAACCTGTTTTTTTCCTTCTTTCGATAGATCCTGAAACCAGCCGAGAAAAAGCAAAAGTACGTTTACGGTGGCATGAGCGCCGGCGGTCCCGTCACTCCTCCGCGAAAGCAAAAGAAGAAATAAAAGAATCAATACGAGCTTCCCCATGTGCAGCAGGTTCGGGCGGAGATAAGCCTTTCACAAATCTCTTTAACAGCGCCCTCATGACAATCCTCCCTACAAACCCCCTCCCGCGAGTCCCCCCCCGGATCCACGAAAACGATGAACGACCGAGGAACCCCTCATCCGCACCCAGGGCAGCCCGATATTCCTCAACTCCCATACCGATAATATCATAGATTCATTCTCAACTCCTCCCGAAGGGCTACCTCTCCCGGTGCGACATGCGATAAAAAAACAACAGTCACCACATCATTTCTTGGCCCGTGCAACCCTCTGTACTTCCGGAGCGGAGTTCAAATGCTTCTTTGTTTGTCAACTTCTCTTCTCTGTTTCTGTTTCTAACCATCTGGACTGGAATCATTTTTTTTCTTCCTTTCGGCATTCTGGGAACGGTGAAGGGAAACTGGTTATCTTTTCTCTTTTCTTTTTTTTCTTCTCTTACTTCTTATTGTCCCGTTACTTGACCGCATGTGTTGTTGTTTTCTTATCGAATCATATTCGTCTTTCGACTCGTCTTCTAGTCCGACACGTATGAGGAGGTAGTAGTCTTCTCTGTCCCTGCTGATACATAGTATACCGGATTTGGAATGGGAATTTCTGTGAATCTAGCTCGGCTTTGGAATGGTTTTTTTCCGGAGGTCTAGATTGTTTGTTATATGGGCTGCGAATCACAATTGCTTTTATCTAGGTCAAGACATACGTCATAGTTTCTATTGGGTACATTGTTAATTTTGCCTCGGCATTGATACTCGAACTAAATAGATACTTGAATCGAGGAATTTGAACATTCTTCAATTCAAGATATGAGTATAGACAGTATGATATCAGTATCAGCACTCCTATACTGTATACTAAGAACGAAGAAATAAATCAAGTCTTTAGACTATAGTATCCAGGAAAAAAAACCAGCTAGCTAGCTCGAGTAAAAGCGCAGAACAAAAGGAGCAAGAATCGAACAAACATGACAAGATGCGGTACAGCGTTGTCGAGTGACACATTTAAGACGTACAGGTACGTCCAGGGGGGGGGTAAAGAGGGATTTGGGTGGGAGAGAGTGAGGTTTCGGGTGTAGAGGAATGTCGAAGAAAGCCAAAGCCAAAGCCAAAACCAGAGCCATTTTCATTTCACTTGGACTTTCGATCGAGTGGAATGGATATGCATTTGGGGTTGACAGGTTGGGAGGGGGATCGGTGTGTCGGGAACAGATCTCCGTTTAAACGTATTGGGACAACCATCTGATGCCCTCGCCGTATCCTGCAGGAAATAAAAGTCAGATATATAATTATTTTTCAAAGTGGGTCCGATTTCCACTTGTATATCCAATGTTCTCGGGACTCGACGAAAACTCACCCTGTCTCATAACAACACTGCACATGAACACCTCGATAGGCCGGATACCCTCGAGAGGAATCTTGCCCTTACCAGTGGTCTGGTAGAGGCCGAGCTGGTGGCGCAGCTCATCCTCGCTGACAGCGTCGGGGTGGTCGATCTTGTTTCCGAGAACGAGGAAAGGAACCTTGGAGAGCTCCTCCATGGCGAGGAGGGCGTCGAGCTCAGCCTTGGACTCGGGGAAGCGCTCGTAATCCTTGGCGTCGACCAAGAAGACGATTCCGCTCACTTCGGGGAAGTAGTCCTTCCAGAGACGGCGGGCTGGAGGTAGCTTCGTTAGTTATGTTCGATGTCAAGGTTTGCTGTGGAAAGGCGTTATGTTGCTTGGCAGTATGCCTGCGCAACATTTCCCCATAAAGTGTCACTCACCCTGCTGGTGACCACCGAGATCGAAGGTGGTGAAGCGGTTGTTGCCGATGGCCAGCTCCTCCGAGGTGGGGTGTGCGGTAGGTTGGAGAACAGCGACACGGTCGTTCTGTGGGATATCCCGTCAGCAAACAAGCTCATACAACGTCCAGTTCTCATGTCTCCCGTTGGTATATCCAAGCTCCCGAATCTATGCAACAGTCTATCGCAACTAGACTCAGGCCTTGTAGCCAGCAGAATTGAGCACCAAAGAGCTGGATCCTAGCTTCCCTAAAACACCACCGTTCAACTCACCTTCAACATGTGCAGCAGCGTTGTCTTGCCGGCATTATCCAGACCGAGGAACAGAAGCTTGGCGTGCTTATTGAGGAGACCCAGCGAGGCCAGGACATCGTAGACTATAGCAAAAGAAGCGGAATCAGCAAAACTGCACCTTGTACCTCGAGTTGCACAATGACAAGTAGCCGGTATCGCGGCACAGCGGTGGTATGATTCGACCTCCGAGTCGGAATGAAGATATATCCCGTTCCAACGCAGCTAGACCGCCCAGAGAGATATCTCGCTCTCTCTTCCTTTGTGCTTGAGATCGACACCGGACGGTGACCGCAGGTGATCGGGTGTGGTATCGGGAGGGTACTTACACCAGTTGACGATCCACATGGTGAAAGGCCGAAGTCAGGAAGTAGTGGAGAAGAGGGTGGGGAGCAGGGATCACAGATTAATCAGTGACTAGCTGATTGGGGAGAGGTGGATGGACGGGGGTGGAAGAGATAGAAGCAAAGAAGACAGGTTTGATGTTGTTTTCGGGGATCGGGTTTGGTGCCTTAGGCATGACAGACGGAATCCTCGCGCTGCGATAAGCTACGACTTCGGGGATGTGGGCTGATTTAGGCTGGTTTGGGTATGTATACTTGTGTGAATACTTCTGTGATTTGTTGGGGATATTATTGATCATAATTGCGTACTTGACTCTTGAATCTCCATCGTGGCGAAGACTCGCCACTACTCGACCTCATTAGTCTTATTACTATGTACAGTCTGCTATAGGAAAGATGGTTCATCTAAAATATTTCATATTCACTCCCATCAAACTGATGGATCTCATGGATCTGATTATTGACAATGCAGAAAAGCCAGATAAGGGGTATATGCACCGCAGCCATGCAAGACACTAAAGGAAGCAACCTCCAGCAAGTCCATAGGACCGCAGTAAGGAAAAGAGGGAAAGGAAAAGATATAGATATACTTCCAACAGAAAATGCAAAGAAAGAACCACCTCCGTGTAGGGATTATTGAAGAAAAGGGGGAAAGACATAAGATAAAAAAACCATTTATGTGGACAACACAAAGTCGGCTAATATGTATAAGAAAGCGAAAGGAACTCGGATCGCTAACCGAGCAGGGTAAGGCAAAAAAACCCCCGAAACCAAAAAAAAGGTGACAAAAAAAGTAGGTATGTACAGGTCAAAAAACGGAGGGGGAAACTTTTTCATACAAGTTCCATAGGTAGGGATACCTAAACGGATAGGACGAGCTGGGCGTCTTGACCGACGCCGTAAGCTCTGCACCTCTCAGCAACTTCGAGGCCAAGCTCCTTCATCCGTTCGGCTCCATGGCCTGGAATAGGTCGTTTGCCCATCTGCTCTTTGGCAGCTTTGCGGCAATGTTGACGCCAGAACTTTTCTTTGCGTTTCTGGCGCTTTTTCTCGAGGCCCTCGACAATGTCGACTGGGCCGCGAGTGTGTAGCTCACGGGCACGTGAGTGTTCGTCCTCTGGGGACTCAGAAAATGGTGGGATACCTTGCCAACGGTGATCTTTGTCCAGGCCGGTGAAGAAAGGGTTGGGGTCACGGGGGAGTGACTTAGTACGGACAAGAGGCCGGCGTTGAACCAGGTGACTGATGTTGAGACCTTCGGGGGACTCAACAATGTGCATATCCTCGGTGAATTCCCACTTGGTTGGAATGGGCGACCTCGTTCTCATGGGTGGTGGTGGGGACTTGAGACGCTTGGGAGAGGCGCGGCCAGTGCGACGGGGTGGTGGGGACATCAAACGCCTGGGCGAGCGACGGGGAGATTGCTTGCGGGTATCGCCTTCTGGTCGTCCTCGGGCAGTTTCATCGCGGCGACCTGCGGAGGACAAGCCGGAATGCTCTATCTCGGATGGCTCCAGGTCTTCATCATCGTCCTCGTCCTCCGGATCACTGGTAGGGAAACTGGGGTCGATATCTTGCGGGATGACAACTTCTTTTAGGCGGCGCCGTTCTTCAAGGCAAGATTTGTAGGCAAGTTCGAGGGGACGATCCTCATCGAGAGTTCCACAGACAAAGTCGGTACTATCAGGAAGGTTCAGGGTTCTTGGACGAATCTTGATGCTCTTGGAGGGTTTCGAAGCACGACGGCTGCTGATCCTTTGCACCGGGGCTGGAAGCCAGTTCAAGTGATCGTCGGTCATGGAATCGAAAGAAGTGTTTGAGGCACGGCGTTCCATGGTCGAGAGGCGTGCATCGGCGGGCTGACTGGTGGGTTCTGGGACACGGCGTGATGATCCCCAAAACTCGGTGTCGGAGCCCTCATCTTCACTCTCGTCTGAGTCCGCGAAGCCAGCCTCGTTGTCCGATTCATTACCGTCGTCCGAAGAGAAGTCGTGCACAGTCGAGTCGTCGTCAGGGAGATCTTCCATATCATCTTCCTCATCCAATGCCTCTTCTTCTGCCTGTTCACCGAGCCGTCGGATGGCCATTTCTTTTTTCATACAGTCATTCAAAGTAATCTTTTGCGTATAGTCGGCTTCCCGGTTGACCCATTCATCGTCCTCATCCATAGAGCTAGCAAACTCGTGGAACCGAGTGGCTTCGGATTCCTCGAACTTACCCAATCCACTAGTCGGGACTCCCTTGCGGTCTGTAGATACAGAGACAGCCTCCTTGGAAGCCTCCTTGGAAGCCTCCTTTGGAACTTCCTTAAGAGTTTCCTTCAGGGTGGGAGAGGCTCTGCGAGCAGCAGGTGCAGGGGAGCCACGGCATCGTGGCCGGATGGAAGACTTGCGTGCTGGAGATCGCTCTCTCTGGCAAACAGTCTCCCGTCCAGGGCATGCGAAAGTAAGTGTGGTTTTCCGCTTGAGGGGTTGAATTGAGGGTTCCTCTACGGAAAGCTCCTTGGGTGCTTGGGGTTTGGGTGGGAGTTCTTGTGATTGTGAGGGTGAGACGGAAGATCCGAGCTGAATCTTCTCATCGGTTTTACGACCACAAGCAAAGCTAATGCATCGTTTGCGGCCAAGGTTTGCTTCGACAGAGGTTTCACTGGCATCCACAACCTTCAATTTAGGGGCCAAATTATTCTTTCCCATCAACGCAGTATTTCTCATCATCTGAGGTGGTAAAGGTGGGCTGGGAGTATTAGACAAGGAGGGACTTGTGAGGCCGCCGTCGCTGGTCAATTCGGCCGTTGAGAGACCGCTCATGTTGCTATGAGGGTAGGATCGGTACATGTACGAGTCGTAATGGGAGGTGTGTGGGTCAGTTGGGGACATCTCTGGGCTGCTCTTCAACGCGCGCGTGAGCAGTGATTCCTTGCGGTTCACCGTCGGGCGAGCGAGCACGATCTGATCGGAATTCATTCGGGTGGCGTGCATGACGTGATCAGGGGGTTCATCGACGTCCTCGGCCAAGTCGGCCTCGTCGTTGGCCGGCTTGCTGGACGAGTTGGGTGACATGAGCATCTTCAATAGGTTATGAAAAGAAAACGTTCTTTCTCCGCCATGTGCCATGTTTCAAAAGGAAGAGGAAAGGTTTGCGGTATAGTTTCCAACGTAGAAAAAAGGAGGAAAGTGGTGAGGCAAGTGGCGTAGGATCGAGTTGGAAGGCGAGGGTAGGACGTTGAAGGAAAGTCTTTCAACAAATGCTGTCTTGATATCGATCAATGTTATATCGATCGACCCTAAAGGCAGAACAAGATGTCCCGAGCGAGGACTATTGTCATGATATAAACCGCATGACTAGCGCAGGGGGTTTCAAGACGAAGGAGGGGATTCGCCAAGATCGATAATTGTGCCTAAGAATGGCGACTCAATGTTGAGCTGGAGAATAGATTTCTTTTCTCGAATACCTCCAGTCGTGAAGGTCCGTGCTTTTAGAGGGATCGAGATAAAGAAGTAAAGGATTCAAGAATGTCGAGAATGTGAAACGAAAAAAGAGATTATAAAGAGTAATAAAAAAAAAAGAAAAAGAAGGGGAAGTTTGGGGAAAAGGTGGACAATAATAACAGAAGAAGATCATAAAGGTGCAGGGGTCTCCGATGTCTTTTGGAGGGGGGAAGAGAGAAGAGAGAGTGACGATACGGGAGTCGGCACTATTGCATTAGGACTAGTGTGGGTTGTTTTGAATTTTTTTTCTTTTTTTCCCACGTTTTTTTTAATTTCCAATTTTTTCAATTTTCCTGTGCTTTTTTGTACTTTTTGGTAATTTTGAAGTAATTTATAGTATTTTTACCATTTTTACTAATTTCCCCTAACCTTTTTGGATTTCCTGTTTCTTTTTTCCTCTTCCTTTTTCCCCCCTACGGGAGTAACCAACCCCCAACAACCCCCAAATGACCCCCATCTTCTCAAATTGCCTTACAACTGCCTTTTATGCATCGTACTTTCTCTTTAGTTGTATAGTCTTGAGACTGTATCATCTGACTAACATAATACTATGTGTCTTGCCACTTGTATATTCCATACAATATATAGTATACAAAGTATATAGTATGTTTTCTATATACTTCAGTTTCATTTCTTTATTACTATTCTCATATTTCTATGTTATCTTACTGTATAGACGCTTTCAAGAAATGTAAGCGTTTCGAGGGTTCAAGTGTGGACCTTTGATGACCATTGTCTAGCTATGAGGGATTTTATGTTGAGAGACTAAACCCGTTTCAGGGACCTTTTTTTTTTCTCTCCAAGCCCTCCCGTTAAACCTGACCTCTCTTAACACTTGCCATTAATATGAGAATCCACTTGCCAACGCAGTGAAATTCTAGGAAAAATCTGCCTTGACCTTAGTAATATCTTCACCGTTATTAGATCTATTTTATGGTTTGATATACACTTGGAAAGTAATCTCTTTGTACGGAGTACTTCAAAACCTATTGAGATGGTCATATCCTAATTACCTAGGGCTATTCCCATGCAAATCAGTATGAAAAAAAAAGGAAATACCACTCCCCGATTGGGGTGCCTGAACGCTGCCGAGCCGTCTCAGCCTTGGCCGAACTTGCCCTAGAAACTAGCCGGGATTAACAACTTCAATTCTCTTACTCGACCGAAACTCGTAATGATAGCTGAAACTATAAACGCGCCGTACGCGCTTCATTTGGGACTTTTTAATGACTACAACTAATTCTTGGCGGGTTTCGCCGAGCTCATACTTGAATGCTTGGTATTGATTTCTCTTCCCTTGCTCCTAATGCGGAAGACTTCTCTCATCTGACGTAGATTTCCAAGCTTCCAAGCTTGTTCTATTGGGGTATTAGTCAACTTACTTTCCCTGTCTTAGCCTTACCTTTAAGTTACTCAATTTCACCGAAATTCACCTGGCTACATGTAGTTATGACTTAAGTCTCCATCGGAGTTTCTCGGAGTGGATAAATTGGATGTACAATATACTAATACAAGTGTACAAGTGTATAAGTGTACAAAGTACTAGTTATACTAGTTAGTACTATATTGTATACCGTACAAAATTTGTACCCACTAGGCTCCGAACTCCACCCCAAAACGGACTCTTGGCTCTGCTCCTTCCCGGTAGATCAGTCTTGGTATACATAAACATAGCACATAGTACAGCCTGTACTTTCAATAATTTGCCCATAGAATTGAGCATCTCTATTGGTTCCCATTCAAGTGCCAAGTCTAAAGGCAAAAGCGTTTTCCAAGGCCAAGCTTAACCCTTTACCAGGTCATTGATTCTCCAAATTTAGACAACTGCTTCGTCATTTAGAGGCGAAGCGATCGTGATCATCAAGTTGGGCGACAATATTCCATAGATCTTCGATCCACAGCTCGCGGAGTACAAAGTACAACGCAATGAGTTATTTCAGAAGGCAACTTTGCTTCTCATCCCGTCTCCGTTTTCAAACAACTAATCAAAACAAAAAACGAAAAAAAAGCAAAGTCCTTTATGCCCGATGAGAGACAAACATGAATAACAACTTACATCGACGCTTACGAATACTCCCACGTTGACAAAGAACAGCGGTCAGCCACGAGCATGATTGCCTAGATCGGCTGACCGGACAAGATCTTCCCTGCGCAAATCGAAAAGTCTCCAAATTTATATCGCATAACCCGGACAATTAAAAAAAAAAAAACCTCCTAGAAGGAAAGAAAGTCCTAGAAATCCCCGTAAGCAAATGGATCGCCACGAGCATTCATACTGGTTCCCGGAGATATGCAAGGCAGCCACAACCCCCCTCATCAAACCTGTAGGGTCATGAACCACTCCCGTTTAGATCGCGACAAGCTTCGCAAATCCGAGGGGATCACCCCACAGTCCATCGAGGTAAGCAGGCATAATCCCTGTAATACAACCCCAAGCTCACTTGCAGGTCCTCGAACCTGTGACCGTGGGAAAAAAAAATGAGTTTGAAATCGAATTGTGGAAGAAGCTTGTTGGCAATACGGATTTTGCGACGGGCATTACCCGGGGAAGATCTAAGCCATTGAGCTCATATTGTATAATTTGCAATTCGTCCTCTGTAGCGCTTTGGTTTTATTTTTTTTCGTTTCAAGTTTTCTTTGTTTCTTTGTCAATTGGTTTTTACATTTGTACATTGGACAAGGACAGGGCAATTGTCTACGGGCGAGCGGCAACCTTGCATATCGAGCGATTCGCTAGATTAATTTCTAAAAAAAAAATTAAGCCTCAGTTTCCCAATAGGGAGAAGGCAGCCGGAGCGCATAAAACAGTGTTTTGAAAATATACACCAGAATTGTACAAGAATACGAATGTACCCAATGCCATCTACAAAGTCCTGCGTATACTCTATGCGTACGCAAGACAAAAGTTCCCGCGCTGACAGCAACATCGCAGGAAATAGAACGGCTGGGTTCTTGGCCACCCCTCACTCTTTGGGCTTTGACTCTCACAAATCGGAAAGGGAAAATTATTGTGGGATCCAATGGGCGGTAATTCTCGCCATATGGTTGGGATTGTGGAATGGGCCAAGAGCTCCCCCTCCCGATTCCTCGGAGAAGTTCTCCCAGTGGAGTAAGAGGCTAAGAGTGCGAGGTTTGTACAACGGGGATGGTATACGAATATGGTTTGATGTTAAGGGTTACTACGGAGTAGGGCTGTGGTCGTGGCACGATTGAGGGAATTCTCCCAATCGTGGCAATCACTCAATTGACGATTAGCAACCGATCTGACCCGCTCTATAACACTAACCCCAAGTTTCAAAGTGACAAAAATCCCAAAAATCCCAAAGTTCCCAAGCCCTCCAAGTCCTCCAAGTCGTCCAAATGTACCGAACTATTCCGTTTAGTGACGTCTAGCGCAATAAGGTGCGAACAGTGCAGGGACACGGACTCCGAGGGATGGCACGAGCGGGATCTTCGTACATTTGACTGCAACAGCGCATATAATACCAGATTCGTTGACCGGAAACGCAACCGGGGAAGTGGAGTTGAGAATCAAGAGTGATTGGGCAAATGTAGGGCAAATGTAGAGCGAATGTACGCTGCAATGCAGTATGCGCGATAGGCGGGACGGGTAAATGGTTGAAAATGTCCCGACCTCGGGAGGATTTGGTAAACACAGCTATGTATGAGGCATTTTCATCTTTCCACTTTTTTTCACTACTGCACTGCGCCAGATCTAGTTATATACTATATGTTAAGGCGTTTTATGTTGCTCCTCTCTAATAGGGCACAGTTGTATGTTGAATTGACTCTTGGATCTTTTGATGCAAGTCAATATACGGAGTATATATGTCCTTCACTTCAATTGACTGATATAATATACATCCCAATTTGGAAAGAGTCTATCTCTTTGTTCAGGAATGTGACAATTCTCTTGGCAAATCGGGATATTCCCCCTCTCAAGGATGAAAAGACTCGTCTACGGAGTGCTCCGTATGGAGTACACGTTTCACACAAAGGCAATGCCTAACTAATAGATCATACCAATTGTTGGTCTGTGCAGGATATATCTCCAATATGGACCGTTACCAGCGCCCGATTACCCCCAAATACTACCCAGGTCTTCACCTCTTCACCTCATCAAAAAATGGACTACCAAGTCGGACTCGGATGTCCAATGCCAAGTGCACTCCGTATCTCACAATGGGAACACCAATTCCATTCACATCTTCCATCAGAGGAACGTGATAGCCTACACATGAACCGCATGACCTCTCCGCCAAGATAAGCCTGGTTCACAAAATCAAAATCAAAATCAAAATCCTGCTCTGCAAGACAGGTAGATCAGACAGATCAATGATCTACCCGACAATGCACAGTGCAAGGAGATAGCCAGTCGCACTGGGTTTCACCAGAGGAATGCTTGGCGACAGCGCGTGGTGAAGCCAACTGCCAAGACCTGGGCATTGAATCTTCAGAATGCGCCCGGTACGACTTGAGCTGTGGTATGGAACCGTCCCGGAGAACAATAATCAGCATTCCCGGGGTGACAGTACGGAATACGGGGTAGGAAGAGCAAGGGAGGAGAAGGAAAGCAGGGCCTAGTCTCTCCAAAAAAGGGGGTTCAGGGTTCAAACGATTGTATTTGCATACACCCCCTTTCTTGAAGAGATCTTGGCACCAAACAACCCCCTTCTGATAACCATACGCTCCATGATAGGATTCGATCTCGATGCCAAGCAGCCGTGCTACATATAGCAAATACTCACAAATGAGCTCTCGGCTGTGCGGTTATTCGAGTGCAAGCTATGGGGGAATGGTCTCGCCAAGGGCGATCATGGCGATCATGCTGACACCACGGGCGTGCATGAATCCAGTCTTGGCACCGCTCCTATTTGCGTTCTATTTGTTTGTGCCAAGCGGTTGCACCGAGTGACTGCGTTGAGTTAGGGGGTTACAGTGGCAGTGCTCTGTTATTCTAGCTCGGGATCGACGGGCTACAGGGCTTAGCCTTTTGACTCGGTCCGGTCCGGTTGAGATCTGTTGGAGGGCTTCTTATGCACTTTTACCTGGTGACTTAGGTGCCTACAAAGATAGTAACGGGGAGTCCGGAGCACGTTGGCATGGATTCTTCCTTGCCATTTTACATTACATGTGCGATGTGCTCCGTATACACTTCACAGTTAGGAATAGGATACGATCGACACTCTGTGGCGTCCTTTCATTTCTTTCTATTGCATACTGAGTAGTTATCCAGAGACCTGCGTGAAACAAATATAGCAACCTCTCATAGAGCCGAGCTACGCCTTGGCATACACGCCACCTTACGAATATCGCGGCTCTTGTCATCGCCCTGAGCGTTCATCCCTGCGAATCCACGTCAGATGCGCCCAGGCTCTTCACCCAGAGTCCAGAGTCCAGCCGGAATATCTGCCCCGACCACTCTGACGTTTCACTTTCGACGCACAACGTACCACTGTCCAACATGCCAGAAGAATGCAAATCTTCTGGAAGTGCTTGATAATCAACTCCACCCGTCCATCGACCCTACGCAGAACATGGTTGGCTCTCGCGTTTTGGCACCCGGGTGTTTGCGAAATCGACTTGCCAATGACCATTCAGTTCAGCACGGGGAGAAAAACATGAGAATCCCGTGCGCGCTTCAACGCACGGCATCGGATGGCGTCGGATAATTAATCTTCGCAGTCCGCAGATCCCATGGACGGAGAGGGGAATCTGGAACGGTCGCATTCGTGGGTGTCAGCAGCCGAGGAGATACTGTCTATATGTAGTCAACGTGACCATCTGATAGTCTCCGTCTTTGTCGCATCACAGGCGATCCTGGCGGTCGCATCTACGGCCCAAATGACCATGCAATTCGATTCACTTCGCGCATGACACGGCGATTATTATTGAAAATTTTTCCATCTCTTCATTCGATATAGGCTTATGATATCATTTTCAAACAGGGAGATGACACGGTCTGAAACACGTTTCGGGTATCGCCAATGCAAAGCAATTCAGAACCAACCAGAACCAACCCTATTATCCGATATATTGTGTTCGGCTTACAGAGGATGTACATGGTGTAATGGACGAGCGGCAAAAGAAAACGTTACTGGTTCCAGCAGTTTCAACCATGTCAATCGCAATAACCCCGACCACAAAGCATCCAACCAGGGAAATATGCATTGACGATCACCGGAAACGGGCGAGTATGGGGTTTATCAGCGGGAGGGTTCTGGAGCGACAAAACTCCGCTTCCTCTGCTACTCCTTGGGGTTCGCTTTCCGTTTTGGTACTCAGGCCTTGCCGCTTTTTGCTCACTGAGCATGAGTTGCACTAGTTGGTATAAGAAAATGAGCCCTATAAGAGTAAAAAACGCAGACCGGAACGATAGGACTGGTTTTTATAGGATTACTCCTTACTGAGACTGGCACCATGAGTGCAGTTATCGATTCCTATTTGCGTATTTAGTTGACTATCTCGTAGTTCAGAGTATCCCTTCAACCTTGGAATCGGAAGTTCCTCACTTCACATAGGCATGTATCTCGGAAATTCCACAGGCCACTGCCATTCTTTTTCATTTTTTTGTATTCACCAAGTGAGCCCGACAATCATGAAGAGTCTTATTTTTATACACTCTTTTCTCGCTGCTGTGGAAGCGCCTCTCTCTGAGATATATTCCCCCGAGCAAGCTCAAAGTGTATGATACAACCCACACCGTTCACACCGGTGATACCTGCACTGGAATTGGAAAGTCGCAAGATCTGACTTAGGCTAGCTTCTCCCTTGGAGCTCTCAAATCAGTTCCTTCTGCTTATAGTTGGTCATACTCGAATGATGGCAATACTCTGCTAATGAACGAATGAATACACAGCAATCTCGGAAGCCTGATAAAAACCACTATTTGCATGAACCCAGTGGGAAACTTTGGCCTCGGAGGCATCACGACGATTGTGACTACTACAGCGTAAATTCCTACCATGAATCGTCCCTATTGTCCTCATACTAAAGGTATCAGTGCTATCCCTTCTCCTGCTAGAAATGACACTAAATCTCGCTGTGATGAATACTACAAGGTTGCTAAGGATGAGATTCGCGCAACAGTAACGGACACATTCAATATATATCTCGAACCAATCTGTGGATGACCTGTTGTTAAATGAAGATAGCCTTTTCCTAGACCCTGAACTCTTCTAGAACTGCACAAATCTTATGACTAACACCGACTACTGCGTGAAACCTGTAGGGTATATTGCGACATATTCAGAATACTAAGGCATCAAAGATGGTCTTTGATTATGAAAGACAGTTATCCTAGGCACAGTAATGTACTCTGTATGAACAAATATAAACTGACATCGCGAAAAGCAGGCCTCTATAATCTATATCATGCGCTACAGCTACATATCCTATGAGGGATGCTGGATCTCACAATCTACTAGAGAGTAATTGTTGAATGAAATGCACGTCTTTTATTATATCAGGTATCTTAACAAGAGAGTTTGGCATAAACATCATGCGTGAATGTACATTTGCCATCATCGAGCTGTTCAATATGGAAAGCATCAGAGCAAAGCTGCGATTACGGCAGCAACCATAGGAACAGCCGTGACCAATGCACCTGCAGGACCAGCAGCCGCCGCACCGGGTGTTTGGGTTGCCTCAGGGGCCGTGAGCGAGTCCACTCCTCCAATGACGTCCAGCCTATAGTAGCTGCTTAGTGCCACCGAAGAAGCCGCGGTGGAAGAGGACGAAGAGGCGGTAGTACCTCCTCTTACGGTTCCACCCATGCTAGCGCTCATGGTGCAGCTGACAGATTCGGTCCAGGACTTGAAAGAGCAGTCCCACATTTTAGTGACGGTAACATCGTAACCTTCTGAGCCTTCACTGATGGCGATATATTGCGCGGCGAAGTTCACGGTCTCAGGACCTTGAGTGATCGTCTACGAAGTGGCGATGTCACATTCTGATTTGGCGGCGCCATCCAAGCAACCGACATCGTATGTGGTGGCTTTGGCATTGATACCAGTAACGCTGACAGCAATGCTGGTAACGCCGGGGAGAATAAATCAACGGTGGTGCTGGAGGAATCCTTGGCTTAAGCACCGAGTGATGCAAGGAACGCAGTGGCAAAGATAGAGGTACGCATACTGATGATGGTTTTCAAAAAAATCTAGGGGGAAATCCTGCAGGGAGACCATTTCCCTTTAAATTAGAAAACCGAACTGCTGTGATCCTTCGAATACCCGGCAACTCTGGAAGACCGAGCTAGCTTAGTGTAGACCAGGAGATTTAGTGAAGTATGCTAGAGACTTGACTCATTTCTCACTGTCCACCCATTGGACTTTGATACGTTGGGGCTGAATGAGAATACTAGCGCTAGCATGAGGCTACCTAAGACAAGAATGCTCCACCCGGTAGAGGAAATATGGTACGTATAGCTCCAAATATACGTTTCAGATGCTCATTTGACCCTCCATGCTGGTGACATCACGGAGATTGGCATGTTACGGTGATCGAACGCGTGGCTGGCTGCTATGGTAGCTTGTGTTTTGATCATGACCTGTACTAGTATTGCGATGCTTTCCGAGATAGTTGAATGTCGATCTATACTGTACGTCAGTGCTTGCCCTATGTACCACGTGGGGCTTCACTAGGTATATTAAGTACAACACATTGATCATAGATGGCCGTGCGATGAGATTGTAAATCTTTATTGGTAGATGATGTGGGGTTTCCTTTATGATATCATATCTGCACTAACAAGGATCTATATCAGATATCTCATCGATGGAATCATAGGACATGATGGTGACGCGTTTGATGTTAGATATCGGGTTAAGATATTCATACACTTTCCCTCCGATTTGATATGTCAAAATGCAGTGAAGTACAACTGTAGTTGATATTGATATTCTACTTCCCTAAACTGGCAACCTGGATTACGGTCTAAATACAACGTATACGAACTGGTATGAATCATTAAACCGTTTCATGTATTTCCCTTTCATGTTATTGCACGTCAAACAGCTTATGCCCTAAAATACCTCCATTTAGCACTATTTTGGTTGCCATTCATGTGTGACCAACCTGCCTTGTCCCTGGGCTTGACACTGTATAATATGAGTCATGCACCTCTCTTTCAACCTCAGGGCAATACTTCTGTGTCTGAGTGGGATATCTGTTTGAAGCATCGATTTGTATCATAGTATTGCGCAGCAATATTTGACGCTTTCCCCCATTGAACCCCCCAATGAATTCTCCCAATAACTGAATGGCCTCATTGATCCGACTCACAAATTGGACACAATTTACTGTTCATGAGAGTTATTAACCATCAGAATCGCCTACTGTCCCTCCCTAAGAGCGACTGCATCTTTAGCAGTCACAACCAAAGTGAGAATTGGCCATGATGGTCAAACCCATAATGAACTCAGGCAGTAAAAAATTGAGATCTTGCTAACTTGCTTGCTCGCACTTAGACAGACTTCTCTTTGTCCCCATGCAGCATATAAGAAGCTTCATGGCAGTTGTCAGTTCATCCTCTGAATTTACTTCTATCAATTACTTTCTTGGTTCTCCTCTAGAGACGTAGAGACGTAGTGTACGGAGTATGCCCATCACAATTACATGTAAAATAGGGCCGAGGGAAGCCAAAAGTGCTATCTAACGCCCGTATAGTGAGGCTTGGATGAAGGGAACATTTTTGATTCTTCATGCACATGGTTGTTCCATGAGGCTGAGGGGTAAGCCACCTGGGCAAGGTTCTCCACTTCCATTGTCAGCCCCCAGTCTCCTTCACATATTCCATCGCATGTAATATATTAATATTCCGACAAAATGGGCCAGTAAATATCCATCGGGTAATTTGGACAGATTGAACAGAGAAAGTGGTGATTGAAACATAATTCTCAGCCTTAGGCCGCCACATCAAAACTTACTCTTTGGGAGATGCCTATTCTCTCCCCCAATACGAGCTGAAAATCCTTCACCTTTCCATATTTAACCACATTTCTATTTCGACTATCTACGCAATGGAATATGACCCAAGATCCCCCCGCTCGTTCGCCGCCTCTTATGTCTCTAACTCTCGCTTCCATCGCTTCTTGACCATCAACTCAACGACCCATGGCCCTCTCAATGTGACTTACGGCGATTACGGCCACGAGCCCGATAAGAACGGAACTACTCCGACACTTCTCTTTATGCCGGGCATGTTTTCATCCCGGTACATCGGAATCTGTCTGCACGCGATTGCAGAGAAATGGGGCGTGCGCCTTTTGGTTGTTGACCGGTAGGTGTACCCCAATCCTCTTATATAAAACATGAACTAAGGTTATATCGTATGTAGTCCTGGAATGGGGAATTTCACCGAGGTGCCGCTGGCGCAGCGAGTGTCTACCTGGATCGAAGTCGTCCCTCAGCTTTTGGCCCATCTAGGCATCCAGCATGTTTCATTGGCATCGCATAGTGCTGGCACTATTTATTTGCTTAACACCCTGTATCACTGTCGGGATATTCTGTATCCTGAGAAACCGATGGTCACTCTTCTAGGTATGTTGCATTTCTTGCATATCATTTTGTCTTTTTATACATTGTTCATATTGAATGGTTATATCCCAATATTACGATCCCAAGTTTAACAGCAGATAGCACCGTGGGTCGACCCTGCCAAATCAGGCAGCACTTCCATGAAAATGGCCCAATACATCCCTACCCCAGCCTTCAAGCTCTGGCATCATATTCCACGTCTCTTTCTCGTCAAAGATGGGTCTGCAACAGCTGCGAGTGGAACAGTGATTGCCAACCTCACTGCTTCTTTTCCCTCAAGCAGCGGCGATGAGCAGGCAAAGAATCGGCTTTACATCTCAAAGAACTACGGGCTAGACCTAGACCAGCAGAAAGAGATAGACGCTTTGATGATGCAGTATATGTTTGAGGAGAACACGGTTGGCTCTAATAGTGAGGCGCTGCAGTGCCTACGGAAGGAGCCTAACACGTGGGGTAAATGTGAAGACTACGAAGTCTTTGTGCGCGAGTTGGTAGAGCGCGAAAGAGGACGAGGGGGAGTGCTGTTGAAAGTTCAGGCATTCTTTGGTGAGACTGACAGCATGATTGGTAAGAAGGGTCAAGCTTATGTTGAGCGATGCTGGCATCAGACGGGCGAGGGGGACTTGAGGGGTGCAGTTGAGTTCGATTCCATGGTAGTGCCTGGCACTGACCATGATAACTTGGTATCGTCCGCGGAAGTGTGGGAGAGAATTTTCAAGAAAATGGTAGCTTGATATAGTTATAGAAGTGCCATTGGCTCTACCTAAGAACTGCCGCATATCCAGGTATACATACATCATGTACATACATGAAGAGAAACTTTCAGACGGGGATGAGATACAAGCTGCACAACGCCAGGATATATTGAGCTATTGATGTGGGGGCTCAGAAGAGAACTAGATACATATATACAAAACAGAACTCAGATAATCATAGCCCAACTCCTTATTTCCATTGTCCAGCATCTTCCGCTCCCTGGGCCACTCGTTTCGCCCCGCTCTCAAGACCTGAGCTTGCACTTCCGAGCGCATTCCCAACCGGCTCGCCAACACTCCCCGCCGCGCCTGTAATGGTATCACCGATACCTCGTCCGGCAGTCCCTGCTACTCCACCCACTGTGCGAGTGACACCGCCGACTGTGTTTCCAAGTGTGGAGGTAACGAATTTGGCAGCTCCAGTGGCGCCTTTGTCTTGATTGGTTTCGAACGGCATGATGGTTTGATTGAGTTTTGTGGTGGTTTTGATTGGATTTGAAGAAGGATTCTCAAGTTTCGGACCGAATATAATGAATTGAGATAGAGGATTATTGAGGTTTATAGAATTGAAAGAAACAGGTGGCAGAAGGGCATTGTTATATTGGGGCGTGCGCCCTATGACATCATTTGGGTGGCTCGGTGGCACGGGTGGCTGTATACCTAGTTTGTACATCTGGGCAATATAAATTAGTTTCTAATATATTCTAATATAAAACTAGCCACTGACGGAGGCAAAGACGTGTCAAATCTAGAATTAAGGAGAGGTAGGGCAGATCCATCTTTCTGAACTTGGATAAATTCAGGACCTTCCGTGAACTTACTCAGCGTACCATTCGACATTAAATTTCAGAGAATGCTGCTTGATCAAGCTTAATGATATATGACTGAGACGAGTACTACGCTCTAGCAGTAGAATAATGGCTTGTAGATGGCGGAAGAGACTGTATAGTAGCTCAGGAAAGAAGCATGTGTGCGTGAGTGGCGATAATCTTCAAGTAGCCGATGTCGATTTTTGGGGACTGCCAATATAACATCGAGGAGTAAGATATGAAAGAAACAACTTGTTAAAGTGTACACGGACAATTCGTTGACCAAAAAGAGAATTCGGGGACAAAGGCCCTGCCTGTCAAAACGTGGTAGGGGTATCATTTCATAAAATAAAAAAGGAAATAAGAAAGGCCAGAAAAGAAAGTGAGAAAGAAAACGCGAGGAAAGCACAAAAGACAGAAGAAAGAAGCTCTTTTAGAGACGCCGAATGCCTCGGCGGCTAGAATTGTGGTGACTTTGGCGAACAACCGATCTCTGACCAGCAGATTTACGCCGAGGCGGTTGTTCAGGCCGCTCCTGCAGCTTCATCTGCTCTGTTGGTTCTTGCAGCTTGCAAGCTCCGACACTGCGCCACCATCGAGTAATCACCTCATAAGCCAACGCCGCCCTAGCTGTAGCGATAGCGCACGCGTGCTCATCCCGTTGTTTTATAAAAGATCGCCACGCCCGTTGAATGACGATGGCGGAGAAGGTGCGCTTCAAGGCAGAGGCTCGATCATTGTTAAATGGTGGTGAATACTCTATATTTTTAGGGACTCTGACGACATTCCCTCGAGTTTCAACCAGAGCCACCCGCTTCAGTGGGCCCTTTCGCTCTTCTTTGGGTCTGGCTGTTATACGTGTTCTGAGAATAGCATTTTGTACAGCTGGACGGGCTATTTTGGACACGAGCAAATGATTTTCTGATTTGCTTTTGTTGTTGATATTGACGAAGATCCCAGGAGGAATGTTTTCTTTGCCACCACCTGTTCCAGGGATATCAACTGTTGTCGCCCCTGCCTGGAGAACTTTCAAGCTTTGCTGGAGCGGAGCTCTCCTGGTAGATCCCGCCAACGGCTTTTGTAGCAGACGTCTAGCAAACTGTGACTTGAAGCTGTTGATCTCATTATCCCCTGAGATATATGGAATGCCATCTTTGATTTGCCGCTTGGGTGAAGTGTAAAGGCCCATAAAGCCGGTGGGGGTGATATAGTCATCGGATGGAATGTATATTGTATCAAATCGTCTTATAGACTCGTCCCTCGACGAGCGCGGAGTGGAACATTCGCCGAGAAGACTCGACATGGTATCGAGGTTTGCTAACAAGAAGGGAGATTTCATACTGAAATGAGAGCTTGGTCAACTATTTTGAAAGTGAGGGAATGTGTCGGGATTGTTGTGCAGACGAGCGGTGAAGTCAATCAAGGGATCGACTCAAACGCGGGGAAGACGCGGCGCGGGGCGAGACTTGATGCTATCAACAAGCCAGGGCACTCGGGCAACTGTACAGTGGCGCATCAAATCAGCGGAGAGCGAGAGTCGCGTGTCTGGAACAGTCGATTGCTACAAGACCTGTGTTGACCTGTGGACGGGTTGTCCTGGGCAACACGTGGGGTGAACACGTGACATTATCAAAGTATCGGATGAAATAGGAATAAGAGGAATAGATCGGATCTAGATAGAATGTTCTCTCCAGTGTAAACCAACAGTCTAACAAAGTCCTTCTAGACTTCACGAATGACCTATCTTCTTCATGCAAAAGCGCGCTCTCAACTCTTCTCCCCGCTGTATGTTCTTATGAATGCAGATCGTTCAACGAATATGACTTCAGTTCAATATTGCCCTTCGTTATCACTTTGCTGAGGAGGATCCACATCATACGGTGCCCAAGCCGTCATAAGATCAGCCCTGGCTGCATGAACCTCTTTCAACAGATGCGTTATCAGCCGGTCATGCGCGATGCCCGGGAGCCCGATTGACGGGGATCCAGCTTCGGCTCCAAAGCCCTGCATCCCTTTCGGATATGAGCTAGCGCTTTCCTGCATCCGGGCCGATAGAGTCTCAACTAGTCGCTGCATATATTGTAGTTCGCCTAGCGTGACTCGCGCCTGAATAGTCAATCCCAGTACCTGGTCATCGACCGAGTGATCCCCGATCGTGACAGGTTGATGAACCACCTTCTCTAACGAGGCAGGGTCCTCGTTAGGCCCGCTCTTTGTGCTTGGTCTAGACAGACTGCTGCGGTCGTTCATAAAGCACGTGCGGATCATCGCGCGGTACCACGCAATTAGTCGAGAACAGATAATTGCTAGGATCAGCTGGTTCTGTGGGCGAAGGGCACAGGTGCACTGTAACATGCGGCAAACTGACATGCCTGCGTCTTTATTGCTTTTAAGAACTGAACCGGACATGCGTGGCAGCTCGAGTCCATTGCTATCATGACTGCTGCCGCTTCGGCGGGAGACGCAAATGGTCTGGGGGATATGGAGTGAGCGAAGGGATCGCGTCGCAGTTATTATGCAAGGGATGTGATGTTTTGCGAGACAAGAAATTGCTGCGGTTGGAGGCGGTGGTGTTTGGAACGGAGTGAGGGTTGAATCTGGGACAGCGAATAGCGGGGTGGAGAGATCGGGAAGCGTGGAGCAATCCAGTGTCGGTTCCTCATGATTGTCAAATACATCGGGGTCCACACTAGGTATAGGAACAGAGCAGAGATCGGGGGCAGTGCCGAAGGACATGGAATGAGCTGCCGCAAAGGTATCAAGGTATATACTGGGGTCAGGATCGACATTCAGATCAAGATCTAGGTTGTCTATTGATGCGAACAGACCATCACCGGACCCCATAGATGGATAAAGTAGATCATCATGTGCTGTATATTGGGTGGATATGAATTGCCAGTCGTCGGTTTCAAAAGGCATCTGGTCCTCGAAGAGGCTTAGATGATCAGGGGTGGAGGCTTCCATTCCAATCTTGGAAGTTGTCGCACTGTGGTAATTTCCTGGTACCTGGATGCTCGGCCCGTCGAGTGGGACCTAACCCGATTTGGCTAGTTCTTATTTTAGCTCAATCTAGCGTTGACTGAAGGTTTTCGGCTGGCAACACGAGATTCAATCACAACATCAGTTTCTCTCTTAGTATCTAACCTTGGAAGACATCCCAAAATCCCGGGAACGAGGTCATATCCTGGAGCGTTACATGGATAATGCTCAACGTGGCCAGCTCCACAGCTTTGCTTGCATACTTCTTATCTCTTGGCAAGGAGGGGCGGAAGTGGGTTGCAAGCGGGACCAAAACCAAGTTATTTAGGTAAGGAAGTTGAAGACAATAGTCCAAGAGGTCACCGAAAGAAAGCTAACAAGGGAATTGCTATATCAGCACAGCCTCGGTCTACGAGTAATCCTTTCATGACAAGCGGGTACTGACGTCATGGACCGCAATCGCATCCAAACTTCGCGGTCGTCTAAAGCCACTTCACAAGTCATATCCTCTTTACAAACCCCAAAACTCAAAGATTCCTGTGACAAATGCTCTGCCTCCAAAGTACGTTGTACAAAGGAGAAGCCCTTCTGTGCCCGCTGCGATAAGCTCGGGTACCCATGCTTTTACAGCCCAGCAAGACGGGCTGGCCGCCCCTACCGGTCAAAAAAACAATTTCCAGAAGCGGGGAACAGCGAAGAGTCAAATCAATCCTCTGTGAGAGATATAACAACGACTCAGTTTGTAGATGAGAGCGCGAGACTATACTCTCGCTTCAATGCCTCCACACCCGTCAACGTGACCTCCAATAGCTCAATCTCAAATTCCACTTTGCGAGCCAATTCCACACGGCCCAACAACGAAAATGAACATCACGACCATAGCGCGGCAAGGAGCCACTACGTCTCCGATCCGGACTGTATGCTAGTCGCTCTCGACCTATTGTCCGAAATAGAAGGTTCAGCAGAGCAATTGAGACGAGTATATCCCGTAGACGCAAGTCTTCTCAACACAACTGCACAAACCATCACAGCAGCCTTCCATCGCCTTTCTACAATTCTGATGTGCCCTTGCTCCGAGAGAGCGGAGGTGGGGATGCTAGTTTCCGCAATTTGCATGTCCATCATCGACACGCTTGCCATGACAATTACGAACATTGCAGGAGACCGGACTTCCACCGGGTTGCCCAGTCAGCCGATGCCATGGGATAGTTCCGGTGTCGGGTCTCATGGCTCCCTTGGGAGTGAGGCTACAACTATGCAGGTTTTGACAGAACTTTCGAAGGTGGCTAGGCTCATTTTGCAGCTTACTGAGCGGTACGACAAAGGGGGTTGGGGTTTAAATGGGGGGAATATAGGAGATGGATCGGAGCTGCCAACGGACTTTCTGCCGGGAATAGCTACTTTCTTGCGGGAGAGGCTACAGCAAATTACGACCAACGCTGCTCATTGCGTTGGATAGATATAGATTTCGTTCTTCAATGTGGCCTCTCTTACACTTACTTTTGGAGTATTGTGAGTTAGTATAATGAGTTATAAGAACCGTCAGCCGCTTATCGGACCTCTCCATACTTCACGATGTAAGACCTTAGATAATTTGAACATCAGGTTGATTAAAGATGATATTAGAGATTCGTCAGCTCGGTACAGGCTGGAGAACTTCAGGGCTTGTCGCCATCGATATTTTGGGTTAAATCAGGGCCTAGGGCTCGGCGCAGTCATTGAAGAGTTGAACATGTTCGTGATATTCGTGGGTTTAGTCTCATGCATTAGTCTAATCTACTCTAACTAGGCAATGGATAAAGTAAAATTATAACATAAACCACTTCTTCTCTTGTGCTGTGACAGCCAGTCCAACCTTCCCCTCATCGGCTAGTTTCGATAGAACCTGAGCTACGAATGGTCCCGCCATTGCCTCCAGCTCAGGCCCGTAAAGGCGTAGAATGATCTCCCGTGTCGTAAATGATGCCATAATCTTTGTATTGCCCCCAATAAACGCTGACAAGACCTTCTTTTCTCGAAGTTCCCAGTGTCTGCTCCAGACTATGAGTCTGGCTGGCAGGTCTTCAATCACCGCACCGTGTCCGGGGTATCCAACTGTTATATCTTCATTGTAGATACTGCGCGTCATAACTTGCAAACTCTTCATGTATTCCCCTAGATCCTCCGTAACAACACTGGTTCCATGTCCAAGCACGTTGTCGCCTGTGAACATGGCACCGCTTTCCTCTGAGACAAAGCACATGTGGTCTTGACTATGTCCGGGCGTGAACAAGGCTCGTAATGTAGTTCCTTGAGCAGTAAAAGTCTGCCCATCGTGGATCGAATGTTGGCCGCTGTCCGGACGAGCCTTGTGGACCGCCGCGGCCAGATGTGGATACTGAGCCAGTAGCGCCGGGAGACCACCGGTATGATCGGTATGCCAATGGGTCAGCAGCACCTGGGAGATGCTCAACTGGTGTTGGTCAAGATATTTGACCAGAGTGGTGAGCCAGATTGGGCATCCCTGTCGTCATGATTCTCTTGTTTAGTCTCGAAGCGCTGAACTGGGAGGGTTAATAGCACTCACTTGTCCTGTATCTATCAAAATTCGTGACTGGCCGCTTCCCACTAGATACGTATTGGTTCCCTGTAGTTGCATGTTGCCTGGGTTTCCGCCAAGTATTCTCACCACCTCTGTGCTGAGTTCCGTGACAGCCGGGAGATATGGCAGTCCAGCATTTCGAGCAGATAGATATTCCTGCCACCCTGGCTGCGTCCACACTTTTGGAGTAGACATATTTCTTTCTGATTGACACTAGATGCCTAGGTAGGCTTTGCGACTGAAGTAAGCAGTGTTGGAATAAGAGGTGGGGGCGGCTGGAATTTTGGTGAGCATATATGTATGCAAGCAGATAACTAGGGCATGCATGGATGCCTGATAGATGCCTGATATACCAGGCCTTTATCTTCAAGGACCATGCAGGAAAAAATCCACCGAGTTCTATTTCTGTCTCCCATCGGGCCTTTTATCTCCTTTCTTATGCCTTAGACAGCCTGAATATCCCCAAAAAAGAGAAAATGGGGAGATTTAGAGGGTAGAGGAAAATAAAGATCACGACCGAAAACAACTGACAGTTCGCATATGCCAATAGGGTAAAAATGAAAGAATGCCCTCGGGCGTTGGTTAATTTAATTCTAGACACCAGCGCTGGAGGGTATGGAAGATAAAGACTTCGTGTCAATTTTAAGGGAATAAGGCATCAGATGCAGGGTGGCTGCAAGCCAGCCTACAGGCGTATATGTATGCATGAAGAGCAACCCATAGAAACCGTAGTTTTAGGCCCCAATCTAATACTAGATACGAAAATCACTAATCATACGGGTAGGTGGTGTCCTACACCAATATATAAAGGATAGGGTCGCTGGAGAAAATATAGCCACACTGCACAGCAGATGTTCACGAAAATCCAATCGTATTGCAGGGAAACCAGTGCCCCAATCGTACCACATCTACATATTGTGCTTCGATGGCTATTAATTGACGTGATAAATACACACGGCTAAAATGCATAGTCGGATGGGTTGTCGTTAAGGGAACAGCCATGGCGTATATGCGCCCAGTCAAAGCAATCAGCGCACCTAGTATGTAGGATGTAGGTTCGTCATGAATAAAGAACATATGGGCTAGGGTTGACGATAATTACACATCTAAAAGGTTAGTTAGATTACACTCAGAATGTGTAAGAGAATGCGTAGTTTGGGTTTGATTATCACTTCTTCAGCCTGTGCTTTGGGATGAAACGCCACAGACCAATTCTGTGAGCATCCTACGTTCCACATTTGCTCTCACATTTAGGTCGTTCTCATGAAGATTAGTTGCGAAATCATAATCGTCCATGAAAAACTTATCTGATATCGATTTGGATATTTAAATTTCAGCGATGTTGAAGAAAACGAGGTGGGGTTAAGGGAAGTCGGGGCGTGATGGACAACGCCCGAATGGGTATAGAACATGTGAATTTTGTTGATTTTTACTGACTGACCCGAACCGAGCAGATATTTGCTAAGTATCAGGATCGGAGACAGATTGAAGATCTCCACGATCTGGTGAAAGGATGCTTGGGTAGAATGTAAGGGATAGCGGTACTTAAAAGCCGCTATCCGTTTCTGATACCTCGCATGACATGGTTTCTCTTAGCGAACTGCGTGATTACTGAAACAGGGAAGGATATTTTCTCAGTGAACTAATGGATGAAGGCACTTTCTTGCCCTCACATCTAAGATGGGTGGCTTTATGCTATAGTACTGATATTTTTCTGCATATCACTACTTGGAGTCGTTAAGATGGATTGCTGACGATGGCGGTTTCCATATCAAATTTACCGAACACCTGGAGGAAAACAAGCACTAGAATACCACTGACCAACGAGGTGTCTAGCAAAGCGCCTGACATAAATCTGCCACAAATGTGTAATATTTACCTTCAACCAAGCAAAACCGCAAGATTCTGTGATAGTTACTTAATGCGGCTGATAAGCGATTATCAAGATGACAAGTGGCTGAGCATCGGCCGCTCATAAATGCACTCACGTTCAATTATTATTGACACTGTATTTGTTGACATTGGTCCTCGTATTGATTATAAAGCCGCACGGCTGCCCGGGCTTAACCCCTAACTTGGGGGCCAGATCTTGATACATAACTTTTCAATAGAGCAACTAGTGAAAGGCAAAGTGTTGCCCCTTACTCCCTACTTACTGGAGATTTGTACCTCCTGATCCCTCTTAGGACAAGTTTCGAAGCACCTGTAATGACATGCATATGTACATCATGTAAGTACTGCGGTATTTAGGGTCTAATCGTAGCAGCCTATCGATTAGGGCCACCACCATCGTGACTATTTCTTGACGATCGTTTGCGCTCTTAGTCAGACAGCTTTTCTCTATCCATAACGCGGACTGTGATTATATTCATAAGATGTCAGAGACGTTGTATTTCAGACGTATTATCGATAGCCGTCTTTTTGCTTATAGAGCTATGATGGTTGTTCCAAAGGAAGTAGCCATTCATTTTTAGAGGAACAAAGCAGAAGCATGATCGTCATTCTAGAAGCATGGATGCTGATCTATCCCTAAATGGATATATTTAGATGCCATATACGTCAGGCAGCTAGGATTATGCTGGATGACTCATCATTATGTACAACCAAAGTTGTGGCATAGAGCTCGCTTGCATGCGGCTTACGGCCAGACCGACAAGATGTACTCCGTACATTGTAAACCTTGCTGATCTTCATTGATCAGATTGACTGGCAACTAGACAATGTACTTTGTATATCGTAGTTTTATGTACATATTCCACTCCGTAATCTCCTTTAGATTAAAACAGACACCCTTACCTGTATCATCGTCACTAACCTTGGAAGGAACAGGTAAGTGGGTCATGTCTAAATTAGACTCTCGTGACTGTGAGACCTCCTTTCCCCGGACGTGCTTCAACGTGGCCCTAGGCATCTGGAATCTTTAACATTTACATACTCTACTGATCGGTACTTTTCTCTTCGTCCAGCACCTGTCCTACTGCGACATGGATCTTCTGTAAGCACCTGCCTGTTCCATCACCTGTTTTGCGTCACCACTCGCCCACCTTCTCCGCTCTCCTATCATCGCGGCATGATCCTGCAACATGGAATCACTGGTGTATGAGAACTCGCCTTTGGCTGAATATTTGGAAGGTTCGCTTTGTCCAAGATACCTGAAAGATTTAAACTCACTGACATCCGTGCCAGGGGAGGGTGGAAACGAAGAGAGTTGGCCCGTGGAGGAGAATCAAAGCGACGATGATCATACCAGTTCCTTGAACTTTGCCCCTCGCGGGGCTTCCAAGTTCCAGGATCGCGTTCGAAACAAGCTACCGAAGCCTCTCAACCTACAAGGCACACACCAGGGGGAAGTGATCGCGAAACTATATGACGCTTGCTCGGTACAACCCCTCGTCTACGATAGCACGCGATCATACTGACACTTCCTCTCATATAGTCCGCTCTGAATGTCCGATTAGCACGGAGTGACAACGAACGATTTTTGGAACAATTTGGCTACGTTATTGTCGCATCGCAACTGTTGAACGAACACAGTGCTCCTTCCTACACATCCGCTGCAGATGTCCTATCTGCAAAGCAACCCTCAGCTCTCCCGTCCCTATCTACCACCTTTGGAATCCAAGGCGCCCTTGCTACAGCCTTCACATCTTTTTCTATCGCTTGGTTATTACACTGGAGCCGTTCAAGGACTGGGCCAGGACTAAGTCTCAAGAAAGTTGGAGTACTCCTGATACTTGTGCCCGCTGTCGGTGTCTTATTCTATGCTTTCACAAAACGGCAGTGGTTGAAATATCTCAGGCACCAGGCTGTGGAAGCAGCTGGAGCTTTTATTGGAAATGCTCAAGGCTTTGATTCTGCTGCGTCGGCTTCCGTGGTCTTTATTCAGGAGGTTGAACTTGTTTCAAGAGGTTATCGGATGTAAGCACGCAACATTTTTGTTCGACATGACAAAGGGACTAACAAAATATCACAGAAGCACTCCTCTGCCACCTATCAGTCGACTGGAGGATTTAGGACAAACGCGACGATGCTTGAGATTGCGCCGAACGGTTTCAGAATGCTTCTACTCCATGCTCGAGCGGTATATCCAATCCCAGAACATCCTACGCCCACTTACCGACGAAGGTGATCTTGCGAAATATTACGATATTTATGACATTGGACTGGAAGAACTTGAAGCAATTGAGGCCTCCCTGTCGCAGCGAACCAACGAAGACCAGTACTCATTGCGCGCCCTGAGGGATCTGTTTGGAAAACTATACAGTGTGAGAAAGAGCGTACTGTGCTGCTTGTTAGCCCTTAGCGCCGATGGTGGTGGTTCCGATATTGCTCGGTGGAGTTCTGCTGTCGAGGAAATGCGTGAGCTTGCTACGGTGACTGGTAACAGCATGCTGAAAATGACAGCAATTTTAAATGAGGAGGATCGTGAGTGCTGATCTCTGTTGTATGACACAAACACATTGGCTAATATTCGCAGATGATACAATTCCTCCCTCCCCATTACCTTCCGCCTCACCAAGCAAGGACCACCTGCGAGCTCAATTTCGACGGCTCAGCTCTCTGTCACAAGGGGTCCGTGCCTTGCATGCTAAAATGCACATTGCCAGCGAGGAGTCTCATGCCAATCTAGAACGCGCAGACCCCGATGAATTTGAAGCCACCCTCCTGACACAATACGACTCGGTTGGTAGTGATCTCAGGGCTCTTCTCCAAGAGTGGGAAGCTGGTAAAGCTGCATTGGTAAACCAACACGATCGTCTTAGTGTCGGGGATCGCTCGCGACCGCCTAGTACTTTCTTGTTACCCATGTCCCCTACCCCTAGCCTGGGAGGATCTACGGCAGTCGAGGGAAGCCCGACAGATGCACTGAAAGCTTTGACTGGCGAGGGCCGGCCGGATCTTACCCATACCTATGATGACGAGGAAATTTTCGAAGCTGTTGTACTCCCGGCCTCAAGAAACAAGAGAGTGTCTTTGACAAGAGACGAGCGTCTTGCACGTGTACGAGAGGACCGTGCTAGACAGGCGGTTGCTAGAGAAAAGGTAGATGCCAGCACTAACATGCTCAAGGAACTGGAAATGGTCATCAAGCAGCGACCAGGAAACAACTCTGCAAAAAGAGTTACCAGTATCTAAGACAAGACTTGGGTCTCTGTCCCATGCTTGATGCATACCACAGAATCCCTCTATTTTCGTCTGCGCCATCCGGCACAGGTTTGACTTCAACCAGCGCTAGCAGCTGGGAGTCACAAATTGATACCCACAACACGTATAGACGGAGCCCGGCGATAGCGGTGTTTTATTCGAGGACTTTTGCTTTTTACTTCTTGCTACTTTACTTACTAACTTTTTACTTATTTCTTTTGTACCATTATTATCTGTTCGTCTGTCTTTAAGTGATCTTGGACGGGGGTTCTTTCGGCATTCATTTCCGTTGAGTGTGGTGATAACGTCAATATTTTTTTTGTCCAATTTGTACATTACGGCAGGCTCTCCTGCAAATGAACCATCCTTTGAATATCCATACTACTCGTAATTTTCGATCATTATATCGACAAGCCCCTAGATGTATATGAAGGAGGCCTAATTGCCTTACCGCCTGAGGTGTCGAACTTAACCCGAAAGGGACATATCGCCAAACGCGACCGCGTCTTCCCCACCCTCCAACGCGATCCTTATATTAGACTGCCGCCTCTTTCATCCTCGTTCAAACACATACCCAATTCACTATTCTCCTCTCCCTACAACCTTCTTTACTTCGAAAAAAACACTCTCTCCCCCTTTATTTCCTCACGACCGAGTTTAAACACCCCCCCCACACAAAACCATCAAGAGTAAGTCGACTATCCCAAATCGAAAAGATTGTTGTGTGCGAAGAACAAATCAATTAACCCACTCTCTAGTGTTGGAAGCACGATTGGAACAGGCCAGCCTTTTGAAGCGCGTATGTGATCTATACTAATTGACCAATTCGGCAATGGACCAATTATTAACCCAATTGTGTTTAGGTCGTCGACGCTATCAAGGATCTTGTCCAGGACTGCAACTTCGATTGCAATGACTCCGGAATCGCCCTGCAGGCCATGGACAACTCGCACGTTGCCCTAGTCTCCATGCTGCTCCGCGCCGAGGGTTTCTCTCCCTACCGCTGCGACCGTAACATTGCCCTCGGCATCAACCTGCTCTCCCTAACCAAGGTCCTCCGCGCCGCCCAGAACGAAGACATCCTGACCCTCAAGGCCGAGGACTCACCCGATGCCGTCAACCTGATGTTCGAGAGCGCAGAGACAGACCGACTGAGCGAGTACGACATCAAGCTTATGGATATTGACCAGGAGCACCTGGCCATCCCTGAGACCGAGTACGCCGCCACTGTCGAGATGCCTTCTGCTGAGTTCCAGCGCATCTGCAGAGATCTTAACGCCCTTTCTGAGTCAGGTAAGTAAAATTTTCCCCGAGGCGATACTCAAGCCCGGTTGGTAGACACAAGTACCGTCGTGCTAATTGCTTTCATAGTCGTGATTGAGGCCAGCAAGGAGGGTGTCAAGTTCTCCTGCCAGGGTGATATCGGTAACGGATCCGTCACTATTCGCCAGCACACCAACGTCGACAAGCCCGACCAGAACGTCGTTATCAACCTCTCTGAACCCGTCGCCCTGACCTTCTCCCTTAAGTACCTCGTCAACTTCTGCAAGGCCTCTAACCTGTCTTCATCTGTTGTGCTGCACCTCTCTCAGGAAGTGCCGCTGCTTGTTGAGTACGGTCTCGGAAGTGGCCACCTGCGGTTCTACCTCGCTCCTAAGGTAAGTTCTTGATTATTCCAAGGTCGAAATCATTGGAAACCAAGCTAACGTGGGGTTCGAACACAGATTGGTGACGAAGAGTAAACGAATGATCCAGTGGTTCGAGGGGATATGGGCAATGCTAAAAATGAAGCTCGATGATAATGGAGAGAACTTGGAGGAAAATGTTCTTTCACTACATCCCTGACAACAGGGGCTTTAACAAGATTTTCACGATAATTTACACATTCAGCGGTTGGGGTTTCGACCTCGCAAATTTTTCAAAACATGCATCCTTCACTTAGAACTTCCAATATTATCAACACGGCTACGAGTAAGATGATTCTAAGAATATTTCAACAGCGATTGAGATAGTAGAGAGATATATTTCACGAGAATATGTATTCTATTTGTGTCCATCACTAAATAAAGCCCCCACAAGCCCAACGCCAAACCCAGCGACCGAAACCGAGCGAGCCCGCAGGCATAGGACCCTAAGGAACCTCGCAGGGATGGTCCACAACCCCACTAATCAGCAAGGTCGCCAAAAAAACTCTTTCCAGACACCCCAACAAAAAAAAGAGCCGGGGAAGGAAGTAAACTGACCTGAAGGAAAAAAGAGAAGCGCCATCCCCACCAGAATGATCGGAATCGAATGATACCATCCGCCCCTCCGAAGAGAAGACAGAGCAAGGTATGCTGCGTATTGCACTAAAGTGTCATCACACACAATCTCCGCACCGACTCTCCCAAGGAGTTTGGGGAAAGACCCATGACAAGTCACAAGCCTCCCCCCTCCCCCCGATGTTTCTGATGTCAAATGCAAGTGTGGGTAAGAAGTGATCTAGGATCACACCAGGCCCTCACGGGCAGGACCGGCGCCGACGCGCGAGAACGAACGACGGCGCGGGTTGAAGCTTGAAGAATCCTCCGAATTTCTCATTTGCAAGGGGTCTCGCGGCTCTGGGCGGAACCCAGAGCTGCGAGGACGGGCCGTGAGGCTCGCCGTGTGTAGCAAAGAAACGCAGCATTGGTGGGGATGGCGCTTGAGGAAGGGAAATTTGGCGTGGAGGTGGGTTTGAGGGTTTTATATTGCTGTCACGTGGGATGAGTCATCTGTGCGCTTGTCCTGTTTGGGAGGGGTATAGGGCAGCCAATTTATTTTGTTGGGTTAGCTGTGCTACTAAGTTTAGATGTGCTGGTTATTCTCATCTAAATTTGGATGCAAGGCTTTTTTTTGGTATTGCGTAAGCTGGGTCGAGGCAATTTGTCATTGAGGATTGAGTCTACCGTGCACTTCCTACGAGGGTTTTTGGGGACCATCACTACAACCGGCCTATGCTCTCCGTCCGCGGATACTAGAAGTCCTAACATACTACTCCCTAAGAATAGCGCTTATATAGCCTAATAATATGATTTGAGTGGTCTTTTTGGTAGTCTTTTTCGATGTCTACCTCCAAGGTTTCAGTTTAGACCATCCAGAACGCTCTGCTCAGCATCTCTGTTCGAGCGCTGACAGGATGTACTAATTGGAGCAGACGAATTGCGTATCGATAGACCTGTTCCATCAACAGCTTCGATAATAGCCCATGCATAGAAATCCTCACGCCCAATTGTTGTCTCAAACCCATTCTTCTCAAAATATCCAATCAACTCGTACCCATTCCACTCCTCCTGTGAAGCATACACTCTCCATCCCTGTACCTCGGTAGCCCCATTCCAAGACACAAACCAAGTCGTCCGCCCCGAATTAGATTCCGATACCGCATATACACCCGGGCTAGTGGTCGGCGCAGTTGTGAAGTTGGCCTTCCACCCACGATACCAATAGCCAGTTGGGTCTGTCAATCGTGCCTCGAAAACAACACGCGAGCCATCCAGGGTATGCTCACTGAGGAATGGAGTGCCACCCCAGTAGATGAATACATTTCCATTTTCCAAGGACTGTACGCTTCCTTCTTTGCTGGTGAGAATTCCGTCGGGCGTGATATACCGACGGACTAGAGAAGCATGCATAGCTTGCATATCCAGATGCAGTACAAGGCCGGAAGATGAAAGTGCAGTCTGGTGCTCTCCATCAAATCCGTTGTCAAATAATGAAATAGTGAAATTGTCATTGCCCTCTACCTGCAGCCGGGCGTGGTGCTGGGAACTGAAGTTCAAACCGGGCTCGAATGTAAAGTCTGATCTTTTGCCTCCAAGTCTCCATAAGACAGTGCCATTTTGACCTGATATCATGTAGATGGTACGTGTATGACGTGAAGAAATCAGATAATCTCCGCTCTGACTTTTGTCCACTGAGTTGATGTGACTATTAATTGAAGGTTAGCTAGGGAGGGCCAATTCTAGAAGATAGGAGAGAGAACAGACAAAAAATCCCAGCGAGTCTCGGGGCTGATACCATTTCCCCAGCGTTTCCATGTAAGCTCTATATACGACTCTTCTATTTGAACGTGGTCTGCTGCATCCCACATAAAATTGACTGTTTGGGTCTCGACATCAATTTCCTGGAACCCTACACTCATCAGATATCCATTTTCGGGGCCTCCCACTGAGGAGAGATCACAGGGCCGTGTTATTAGCCATGTTGTCAAAATTGCAGTGCCATTGTTGACAACATTTAGCTCGTGCAAGTCGGGCTCTTTGCCACCGACGATTTCGATATAATCTCTTTCTCCATCAGCCGTATACAGTTGTCGACCTAGCAGAACGACGAGCCCTGATGCTTGAGGTCCGACTCCGTGTATCATCGATAACATACATAATTTCTCATGACCTCCAATATGGCAGGGATGAAGATTGTGCACCAACTCATTACCTACTGCGCCAGCCCAAACTAGTTCCTGGGAGGATAAGTAACTAATATTCTGTCATCCCGCACTAACAATACTTGACTTACCCCAGAATGAGTGTATATGTATGGACCATCATTAAATGCTGTCACTTCGTAAGGAGTAATGAAGATATACCCCGGGGTAACATGGCCATCCTCATAGTGCGTGACGTTCAAGGCAGGGGCGCATATATCTGGTCGCTATTTGGATATGTTAGCTATGGGTGCCGGTGTCATTCTGGGAATTGGGACTATACTGATTGAAAACAATGAGACGAGCTCACAAGTCCTAACACATGGCGAGAGGTACTCATCCAGAATAGGAGAAGCTGCCCGATGCCAATAAAAGCCATCATGACCAAAATAGCCAGCACAAATGGCTAACTAGCTATTCTGTTAAGATTTTCTAGCCCGATACACCAAAAGAGTTGGAAGACAAATACTGGTTTCATGGTAGGAAGCAAAATAGTCCGCGGGAATTTTCTCATAGACACTCTAATCTGCAGCTCGGGACTTCAAGGAAGATTCACACTGTCGTGTAACTCCTAACGAGAAATTCCAATGGCGATCATCTGATATTACAAGAACTGTACTTGAATATACGAACGCCTGTTATAATGGACCAAACCCCTGGTCATACTAAATTTGCTCGAAAGCTCGAACGACATACGTCTTTCCTTGAACCTCCACCTTCTCCCCAGGTACTTTCCAAGATCCCTCTCCCTCTGCATCAAACCCAACCACCATTGAAGGCAAAGCACCTGCAGCTTCACCAACTGAATACTTCTCATTCCACCCAGATTCCCATTCTTCCCTTCTGGCACTAACATCGGCGCCGGATTTCTTAACAACCAAATCACCAGATGGAGACTTCTCTCGCGTATGAGTCTGCGTCTGGCTCAGTGCCAAGTAAGTTCCCCAGATGCGACCGATAAAAGTTTTTGTAATCGTCACCTCTCCTTCTTCATTGTCGAGATCTCCATCATCTGACTCCAGAATCCACGAAAGACCTTTATTAGGTCCCTCGGGGCCCTCTTTGAATGGCAACTCCCGCCATACCTCCTCATATTCCTTATCAGGTGCACCAGGGAGATCATAGCGAGGCATAGAGCCCATCTCGAGATCATCGCCGTTTGGCAAGGGAACAAAAGTCCCACAATCGATACTCTCGAACGCATCGTGGGAGTCAAGCTCATGGGAGAAGGTCACCCGCACTATTGAGCTGGTTAAAGGGCAGTCCTTATTCATTTTGTTGAATTCAATAGCATTACTCAGATATAGGTAACTTACAAGGATCCTGACTCTCCACAATCCTCTGTCCAGCAATTGCCCAATCTATCTTGCCTGTTGCCGTTTCTATCCGTAGATCAACGTACCAGTCCTTCACGGACATCACGATTGTATCTGTTGTTTCCTCGGCGGGCTCTGTGATCCATCGGAATGAGATTCGCTTCGAGAAGCGACAGTTCGATTGGTCGGGTTTGATGGTCATGTTGGATTTTGGTGGGGGATTTTGATGGGTGGTGTTTGGATTGGTATGGGGGAGTGTGCCTGTGTGAGTAGATTAGGTAGGCAGGACTGGTGTCTTAGAGCAATGGATTTGATGAGTCTGAACTAGATATGCGACAGCCGAATTGGGAATGTTGAAGAGAAGGATTCCCTGAAGTGCCTGGTTATCTTCCCCTCACAACCCCCGCATCGACATGGAATTCCCACGTTCCCCTCACAAACATTGCCGTCAACGGCTTTAAATATTTCATTATTGTTGGTTATTATATTAGGAACTATTGTCAGAATCTAATGGGGGTTATAGTTTATCACATTTAGTTCTGAATTTATAGCAATTTTTGACAAAGACTAGGACATCCAATATCACTCTATAGCCGTAAAGACCAGCTTACAGCTCTGACCCTTGGGCCTCGAAGAAATGATCTGATCATCCAGCTTCATTGAAGCGGTCATATCAGAAGCTACTGTCGTCCGATAACGAGAATACACTTCCCGAAGAAGCGTTTTCATCTCAACGAGTGCAAGACTAGACAGTATCAGCAATTCGCAACAGTAATCAGATAACGAAGAATACAACTCACTTTTTTCCTGTACAACCCCTCCCACCCGTAGCAAAGGAAAAAAAAGCCTATTCCGCTCAACAGCCCCCTCTTCAACAAGCCACCGATCAGGGTTAAAACGATCAGGCTCAGGGAAGACACTCTCATTCATCCGATGCACCGAGTAAGGCTGACAGCTAACAATAGTATGCTCCGGAATAATAAACCCATCGATCTCCCTTCCGCCAGCAGGTACATAGCGAGGCAATGACATCGGAATGGGCGGCGCACACCGCAGCGCCTCTTTAATGACAGCGTCGAGATACACATAGCTATCCAAGGGTGCATCGGCCGGTGCAGCGATAAGCTCTTTGTAAAGACTGTGCTGGAAACAGAGGCTCTGAGGCCGTGAGAGCTCCCACATCAAGAAACACAGGCCATCGCCTGTGGTGTCGATGCCGGCTGCCATGTGATCTTTGCATTCTGCGGCAGCTTGCATTAGTTGCAGGTTTGATTCTTTGCGTTTTAGTTTTTCCATTAAGGAGTGGCTGTCGAGCTCGATTTGGGCAGCCATGTCTTTGACGTATTGGTTTGCTTTTGGCGAACTGCGGGCGTGGAGGAATTTTGGGAAATACGGTGCTAGTAAAGGGAGGTAGTACTCCAAGAGGTTTTCTGTTCTCGTTTTAGTATTTATCGTGGGGATATACTAAATTGAGCAGAGTACGTACTTTGGAGACTTTGGTGGTAGGTCAGTTCATGCATGATGTCGAAGTCTTCAGCTACGTTGAGAGACCTGAGACCGCCGGGGCTAAACATGAAATGAGTAACGCAGTCTAGGGCATAACAGTGCAGCAAAGACTGCAAAGATTAGCATATATCATGTTGGCTGCTGTAATGCTTTTGACAACTCACGTAAACATCCACACTTTTCTGACCAGCCTCGTCACACTTAGATACAAACGTCATGGCCCGTTCGCGGATACCAGCCATGGATTTTTCTTTCATGATATTGGTCATGGCGTATCTGTCGGCAAATATGCGTTTCCTTTTGCTATGCTGGTAGATATATCATATGAGCACTCAAGTATCTCATTTCTGTTAGGAATAAGTACCTCGTCTTTTAATAAAGTAGAAAACATTGTCCTGATTTCTGTATTAGTGGCTGCGAGCTATTTGTCTCACACCAAGACTTACTTGATCTTGAACTGCCTGAAAAGATCATAGTACTCGGTCTTGTCATACCCACTGCCCCCCGAAGCATAGATCTCTTTGATCGCATCCAGGCTGGTAAATGATACTTCATTGGGGCCTAGTCGGACAACAGGACCATAGATCTTGTGCAAGCGGTGGATTGATTCTCGTCGATTTGCAGTAAACTCTTGATACTTGAGCCACAAACTTGTGAATCGAGTATACCACGGACCCGGAATCGGAGACAAGGGTGAGGAGACTCCGTGGAAGACAATATAGCCACAAAGGAAGATAGCTCCAGCCCATAAAGACAGCATATTGTTGTCGTATCGGAGAGTTTCTGGACGATGAAAAGTCGCTCGTGAAGGATGGAAATCATGCAACCCTACGCTTATTTATATCATAGACTTGATTGAAGAACCTGAAATTCCCATTAGATAATAGACATAAACTTGGAGATTTGATCATTTGCCGATATCATCGCTATCGGAGTGCGGGGAAGGATTGGCCCTAGGCGTTTGGGTTGCGATAACATTCGAGACTTTAAACCAAAAGGGGAAATCCGAGGAGATGAAAAGATTCCCGATAAAACGGTTGTTCTGAATAGACGTTGGTCTACTTGCTACATAGGCGTGTCCCGATCCCGCGTGGCGTTCATCTCGAAGGCGTATGTGTATGGCAGGGGAGATAAAGACTATCCCTATACTAGATCTGATAAATAGGTACGATAAACCCAATAAATAATTATTTGGCACTCACCGATCACTTCGACGTTGGAGACCTGTAGCTCGATTCAAAGATTCGTGGACTGCACAGCTTGCCATGTATGCTACCAAACAAGCCCTCGAACACAAAGTGCACGGCCCCAGCCAAAGCCTCGTAACACCAACAAGGGGGAATGACATCTAAAAATACATCTAAATGCCTGCCAAATACAACGTCCCTAACATGATCTCAAGCCAAGTAGATGGGATTGCTGAAGTCCTCCGCCTTTAAGCACAGAGGGAGATCAAAGCCACAAAACAGTTTAGTTTATGTTGATCATTAAAAGCTGCATGAATAATAATAATATAGTAATCGATTGACAGTACGGAGTACTGTTGGGTTACATTAATAGCGTAGTAGTGGGGCTAAACAATCAATTTAGCGAGTTGGATATACTCCGTCATGACCATAGAGTTCTTAGCATGTGAACCTCAAAAGTAAAAGATCAAGACCTGATATTCATCAGTTTCATTGTTAGGTATGTCTTTGCCAAGGCACCCTTCTCTGGCTGAAAGAGCTACTGGCTCGTTGAACCCCTAGCCGGTTAAACTAGGACTTAGCGCAGCACATACGTGAATGTGATTCTGGCTCGGTACTCTGTAGATATTTGGTGGGCTGAACCTATGCGGCCTTTTTGTTGATTGGACCCGACGCTAGATGACCGATAAGGTGTCTCCCTTCCAAATATTCTTTGTGATTGGGTTGACTTGTTTTGTCTAGATGCTGCTGGTACCTAGGTCGGAACACCCTTGTCCGTGGATGTTACCGAGCAATTATGCAGCATGTAATAGAGATGATCACAAGTTTCAGACCACGGTTGTCAATGTTGGTTCGCAAGGTATCAGCTGCAACATTGAGGCTGATTCTAGTGGGTGTGGTCCTCCAGAGCCCCGGGTCTTACATAAAAAAGCACCGTGTTTTGGTGGTTCTAGACTAAGAGAGTGAAGATGAGGTGATAAAGGGGCCAAAGTAGAGCCTTTTTGGTATAAAAATAAGACCTCGGGACCAGACAGGGATGATGTAATTATATTTCAGTACCAGGGTACAATTGCTGTAAGCAAACACATTTTAACCAAGGATGACACGATTAAAAGCCATGGCTCGGACAACCTTTAAATTGCCTCAGCCACCTTAGTCTGTGCCCCAGCCACGCAAGGTGGCATCCCAGCTCCATTGTACGGAGACATATGTTACTATTATATATTATATATAGTATGTTTCACGGCCTTACCTCCACATTGTTTTCCGGGGATGGGATTCAATGTGGCTTGGACTAATTGACAGGCCTGTGTCACAAGTTAAGTTGGCATTTACCCAGGTAGGTAGTGCCCAGACCACCTGGGCATTAACACGATTAAGTAAGCCAAATGGACCGACCACGGGTCGTCCAGGGGTAGCTACCCAGGTCCACGGGTGAAGGAATAAGGTCCCCTTTTCATCAATTGGATGAACTACGGCGTAGAAGAGTACAATATATCTAGATATGGAATATATAAGAACAAAAAGAAGAAGCAAAAAAAAATTTCGAAAGAAAAAGAGTCTGGACTCGACTAAGTTTGGTACCTGTCGCATGTCGATGGGTCCTTTAATACTCCACTGCCGATTCAGGAGAAAAAAGGCGTTGGAATGCAGAAATAGTGCTTCATTTGGGTCACTGGAGAAACTGGCTGTCTAGAATCTTTTGTAGTAAGCAGGCTAAATCCGAGGTCCAGGGCTTGTGCTTTACTAGTTACGGGGTAGTATAACTCCATATGTTGTACATAGTGCTTTTATAGTGTTGGTATATTGTAGCCTGCATACTGTGTAATGCCCAGGGTGGGTGACCCGCCCCATGGTATGTGGACAACTCTGGTTGAACCCCAGATGTGCCCCTACTTTCTCTCTCCCGTCTCAAAGCCTGGCCTTTTTTTTCCTTCTTCAACACTTCTTTTCTGTCACTCGTTCCATATTCTCTCATCCCTTTTTCTTGAACGGTTACATTTACTGTACGGTCGCTGCCACAACACATTCCCTCTACCTCCCGCCAGACAAACTCGAAACTCGGAACTCCGCGGGACACAAAAAAAAACTCCAACAAACAACGGAACAAAAGAGAAATCATCGTCTATCTTTAATTCGAATCAACTGGTTCAAGCAGTTTGATTGACGGCCGGATGCCCTTGTTGAGGCTTTTCTGCGTCTAGTCGTATCTCCTGACGAATCCCGACTTGCCAACTAAATTGCCAAGCCACAGAAACACACGAGCCACCGGGTGTTTTAATCTGCCATTTCCCCCCGTACAGGGCCTATTTCCCACCGGACTTATAAAGCGAAAGCCACCGTCAGGTGGTCACATCGCCAGCGTGTCTTTACCTCACCTCTCCGCCGACTTGAGCTCCACCACGGAGCCCCTCGGCAAGATTCCTTCACACGGGTCGCGCGCATCTCTCTTAGGGGGGTCATTCGATCCCGCCTTTCGGCGAGGTCCAGGGGGGTTTCGCGCACGCGAAGGATACGCCAACGTCACCCCTGCGACCCCGAATCCCAGAATGTATCTCCCAAATACGCTTTGGACGTGGTCCTTTGCGGTCATCACACTCGTTCAAACAATCGTAACACTCGGCCTTGAAAGGTACGAACCCCGCCGAAGCGGACTTCGGAAATCACTATTAACATTGCGTTTTTCTAGTTACATCTTCGCAAATTTTCAAATTCAGGAACTCCCAAACAACAGTCCCGCTTCGAAAACTATCCCTACTTTCCTCGCCTTATACGGTTTCGGTTTCCTTTACGAGCTTGTGCTGGTGTATGATGCTCTGCGCATGAAGAATACAATCCAGGTCATCGGACTGTGTATCTGCAATGTTGGCCTTCTGATTTACGGGGCCGTCCAAGTAAAACAAATTCGAGAGGCTGTCTCCACATTGGCCTTGATGAAGATGATCAGTCCGATTGTCTGGGTTCAGTCTGAGCCGTTCCTAATCATTATTCCATGCATTGTGGCGCTGGGGACATTATTGATGACTTTCGTCGCCTATAAGCTCTACGATGAGTTTGCATGGACAATCTACAAGCATATCAGTGCTGATCTTCAAATGAAGCGTCGCTATCTCACCTACCAGGTTTGTGTTTTGTTCGACCTCCCTATCACCAACAGGACTAACGGGTCGCGAACCAGATTTATATCGCTCTCTTGAAATTCGATTTCTTTTTCTTCCTGGGCTTTACCGTCCAGTTCCTAGTTTTGGTCTCCTCAACCAGCATGGACGTTGAATTTGCGCTTACAGTGGCTGCCATTCCCGTGACCATTCTCATTCTGGTCTGTGGCGCCTGGTTTGTGCGACGAGAGTCCATGGTTGGCATGATCACCATCATTGTGAGTCAACTACACTAGCAATATCGATTTAGCTTCTAATAATTTTACTAGCTCCTCTTATTCGCCGCGATGGCGTATTTCTGCTTCAAGCTGATCCGAATGTACTCCCCGACGACTTACTTCAAATACCTGCCTGCTCGACCATCGATGACCTTCTTTGCCATCATCACCCTAATTTTGATTGTGATCACTATCATTAACGCCTGCCTGTGCGTCCACAACTTCAACCGCGGTTTGAAGCCTCACATCAACAAGAAAAAGACCAAGGAAGCAGAAAAGACAACCGAGCTCTCTTCAAACCTTTCCCAGGTACCATCCCGGATGATGATCGACTGATCATTTCCGTGTGGAAAAGGGTGATGTTTCTATAAGTAATTTCCCGGGGCGTTGAATTTTGGAGCGCCCGTCTTTTCTAATCTGTGCACTTCGTGTTTGTGTGAACACCTTGAAATTTAGCCTGATCTCTTTGTCTTTTTGTTTTCTTGCTTCTGGGCTTTCGGTTCAGTACGATACCTCTTCTCCGCCGAATCTGCTCTGTCCACCATTTCTCATTTCCCCTGGCTCTGAGCCGTCCAAAAATTCCTGTGATTCTACTTTCCTTGGTTTTATTTACATGTTCATATCCATACCCCATGCCCCCATACCCCTACACGAGTGCACCGACGGCGTTATCTGGATGATTTGATTCCCAGAAGTGTTCTCCATG